TATTGGGGTGCCAGGAGCCTCACTGGGGTGTCGGGAGCCTCATTGGGGTGCCAGGAGCCTCATTGGGGTGCCAGGAGCCTCAGTGGGGTGTCAGGAGCCTCACTGGGGTGCCAGGAACCTCACTGGGGTGTCAGGAGCCTCATTGGGGTGTCAGGAACCTCACTGGGGTGCCAGGAGCCTCATTGGGGTGCCAGGAACCTTATTGGGGTGCCAGGAGCCTCACTGGGGTGTCGGGAGCCTCATTGGGGTGCCAGGAGCCTCAGTGGGGTGTCAGGAGCCTCACTGGGGTGCCAGGAACCTCACTGGGGTGTCAGGAGCCTCCATATGCCCAGAGCCTCGTGGTGTGGGGGTCTCTCTCTGCCCAGGATACCCCAGGGCCAGTCCTGCAGCCCCCCAGGGCCAGCACCAGTGGGCTTTGCTGAGCCACACCCGGCACATGTGGTGCAGGAGCCCTGCACTGCTGAGAGGTGACCAAACCCACCTGTGCTGAACCCAGAGTCCCGTGTACATAACGAAAAATATGTATAAATATGAATATATATTTACATGTCTTTTTAAAAAGGGTTGTTACCAGAGATATACCAGTTTGGTAGGAAGGTACTAGTGGCTGGTAGATATCAGTTGCTATAAAAAAAAAAAATTCATATATTTTGCTATTTTTGCTGTTTTTATTTTTTTAAATTATGTTCTAAACCTATTTCAGTTTAGGTCCCTCGATAAGAATTGCTGCTGCTGCTGCTTCAGTTTTATATGGGGTTGTATTAAACAATAATAATAATGTGTCGATGCCTTTTGGGAATCTGTTGTCATTGTGTGCCTGGCCCTGGCCTGGCCCTGCGTCCCCCCAGCTCCCTCCGGGGCTGGGGCTGGCCTCGGGTGGGGACAGTGCCCTGGGGAGGGGCTGCCACCCTGCCCGGCCATCACCTGCCCCTGGGGACTCGCAGGGGACGCAGGGCTCGGTGCCAGCCCCGCTGTGCCCCCCGAGCAGCCCCTGCTGCCTGGGCAGTGCCTGCCAGTGCCTTAGCAGGGCAGCAGCCTCCTGCCAGCTCTGCCTGTCCTGCTCCTGCTCCTGCTCCTGCCTGGGCTGTGCTCCCTCCAGCTGGCACCTGGGCAGAGCTGGCATTGCCCTG